CGAATACTAAGCTCCTGTTTAGGCTCCATTCAAATGAGATTTTGGAGAAAAATGTGTGGTTAAAAAATAAGAATTTTTTTTAATATACGTTTCATATTATTTTATGAAAGAATGTATGGTTGAAAAAGAATTTTGAAAAAAATTTATTTTTGGAAAAATAAAGGCCGAACATGGGCTAAATCATTTTTTGGTCCACAATTAGTTCTATTGGATTACTACTTGACTGCTCCACATGGGCCGAAGGAGCCCATCAAAGCTGATCCCCCATAACTAAAATAAAGAAATGGCTACAAATTTGAGATGGGAAAATTTTCATCACAAATTCGTTGAAAAAAATATGTTCTATATTTCTAAAACACAGGATCAATTTTTTAGAATTATGGAGTCGATGATATAATGTTAATTTCGAAAAGTTCTTGATAAAAATTCTAAAACACAGACACGTCACCTTGAGGAACGAGAACCGTCGCCATCATTACCCTTTATGGCAACAGAGGCGTGCCTTGGAAGCAAGCGAACGCCCCTTTATGATTGCCTTGGGAAGATGCGAAAGCCTTCAAATCATTGACACAGAGCCCAATGATGTCCCTTCAGAGCCCTCAATCGCATCTGCTTAGAGTTGGAACAGCTCTCCACAGAGCTGCCAACCCATATCGCTTCGGCCAGTACAGCTTGGCGTTGCAACAGCTCTCCACAGAGTTGTTAACCTATACCGCCTAGGCCAGTATAGCTCAGCGTTGCAACAACTCTCCACAGAGTTGCCAACCCGTATCGCTTAGCCAATACAGACTAGTGTTGCGGCAGCTCTTCTCATGTTTCCAACCTCCATCGCTTAGGATGCTCCACAGGATGCCTTGCATCGGCATCTGACAGATACAAATGTTCACCGCTCGACGCTCAAATGCTCGTCCCAATGCTTCCCAACTCAGCAATTGAAGTTAAAAGTCCTCGTACTATATAAATAATCATACATGGACTTGCAGAACTATTGTTACGGGGCTGTGTTAGACCCTCCACCTCGACACCACGTGTCAGTAAAGATGGCCCACACGCCCGACACCTGGTGCCGAGGTGATTACCTCATGGGACGAGCTGGTTGTATATACCGAAGTGATTACGTAAGGAACGAACTGAACAGGCGCCAGCAAACGAACCGGACTCATTCGCCAACACATCACGGATGCAAAGGCCCGCACTCCGCATCCAGAACGCTGCAATGCCTCACCTGCCTCGCCCCGCCTCATCAAAGCTCTATTGTACAAAGATCTCAAATGGTCAAATCAGCCGCTCTTGTCAGAAATACTCAATGCCAGCCAGCCTATGGATGGGCAGATTGACACCTAGGATGGGAGGAATTCTGGAGATCTAGCAACACGTGTCTCCTCATTCAACGACCATCATCTTCCCATCCTTAGTATAAATGCTCCCTCCTTATACCTCAAGAGGGCATGGATTTTTTGGAATTCAATACACTACTACACCAAACCCTTGAGTTATCTTCTCCCCCATATTGTTGGGATTTTTATTGCATGTTCAATTACTTCTCAGCGAGTGCTCTATCGCCGGTGAACCCCTTTTTATTGAATTTCAGACTGACTTCACTGTCGGAGTGCTGCGGTCGCTCCCAACCCCTCCGGGAAAGGCCCCCAGCAACTGCCGGTGTTCCACGTGTGTAGGGAGGAGTTGACTAGAAGACCTTCCGTTGGCCACGTGTCGGAGCCATTTTTCGAGATCAACAGTACGTATATACTTGGAATTCTGGAGATCTAGCAACACG